ATATATGTATATATATATATATGTATATATATCTTGGATTTTGTCGGCCCTTTAGGTGTGGATTGGACTCAGAAGCCCTGCCAAGGACATTGCTCAAAACAAAATGGCGGACGCGCTTCGATGGGTCTTTTCTTTCATGTCCTTTGTTCTAGGTTAGCATGCTCAGTTAGTACAGAGAGTTTATTTTTACAGTTTTTCTGGCTCAGAACACTAAATTGTCAGAATGCCTGTGTTGAGTACAAGTGCCCATACTCAATAAAGGATCAAACAATAGAAGAGGGCTACAAGAACACAGACTTCCCTGAAACATGTGACGGGAAATTGCAACTGAAACGAAGCCACAAGTACTTCTTCCAAGTGTAAGGCCAAATGGCTCTAACAGGACTCCAAACAACCTATTTATAACGATAATCAGTGTTGCCATCCATTTTAAGATGTTTTTTTTTTCTTTTAAAGAGAGCTAAGGACTGTATTGGCTGAAAGTTATGAGGGACCTCAAGCAGACCACGACGGCGAGAGAAACGAGGACGTAGAAAAACAAAAGGTCTATTATAACATAACCAAACTAAAGCGCGCGCTCTGATTGGTCGATTTAGCGTCCCCCATTTGCCCATGGGTGTACGCTGCTGACGTGAGCAAATGCAAAGACTATTTTTCCGCGCGCGCTTCTTTTTTCTGGTCACGTAAGATTTGTTAAATAAAAGGGAACTCTTTAGCTACAATGTATCAATGTTATGTTATAAAACAAATGGTAAACACCACAGCGTACACTATTGAGTTATGGATGCACTTGGGAGGTTTGCTAAGCACTCAAGAAGCTAGAGTCGCTCTCGGCTATCGCCTCGAGCGACTCTTACGCTTCTTTCGTGCTTAGCAACCTCCCGCGTACATCCATAACTCAATAGTGTACGCTGTGGTGTTTACCATTTGTTAAATAGGCAGAAAAATTGCTCAACATGTACGTTTTAAACTTGCTACATTTCTGAGCCGTCCTTTGCAAAACAACGACGGCAGATTATTAGATTGGTATTTGAAACTCAACGCTACTTTTATACTTTATGTTGAGGTTGAGGCTGGGGTGTGGCGCTGTATGAGACGGTAAACAGATGTAGCCATTTTCGAAACTTTAATCAAAAGTTGAAATTCATTTTTTAATCAACGTCTTCCCTGGCGTCACCATCCTTACTGCCTAGGGTCCCTAATAACACACCACAGCATTGAAATGGGATCCACACGTAAGCTTCAAATGTGATCTTGCCAGGGTCGTTACAAATTTATCAGAACAAATGAAAATCAAAAGGAAAAGCATACAGCTTTCAATTCAAAGTTTTCATTTCTTTGGACTTACTTGCTATGCATCAAAAGCATCGATGGTTAACGATGGAAACATTAGCGTCGGATGCTTGATGGCTTAAACCTAAAGCTCAGAATGAATATTTTTTGCCTTCACATTTGGATATTTGTGACATCAATAGCAACAAAGGCTTTTCAAAACCCGTGACAAAAAGTTGTCTTCGACAAGTTTTTTTTATTGATACTTTTAGCAGAAAGAAAGGAAAGGCAACTCTGGCCAATGCAAGAATATAGTTTCAGCCAACTAGCCGCAAGGTTTTTGCGATCTACAAATTCAAAATCGGAAATTATATACATTAACATCGGCAGTGAGTGAGTTGTGTGTGTATCTTTTTTTTGCAGCAATTCTACCACCACAAAGTTATCCGACTTCCAAAAATAAAAACAAAACAAAACAAAAAAAAAACAGGGATAACATCTTAATTCAAAAGAATAAACAGGTAACATAGAGTTATTTACTTTGTGAATAAATTCGAATTTACGAGCGATGCAGGAAGATAGAATCTGACCGACGCAGTTCACGCATTGAACTCATCTGGAAAGTAACATTATTCCCTTTTCTCATCATTTTATTTATTCATTTCTATTTTTTAAGAAGTCAGATTTTGCACGGGCAAGAACAATTTTTTTCCTGAATAAACTCTCATGTCGAGACAGGTGGAAGTAAAACGTCTCAACGTTTTTTTTTAAGTCCGTCACGACAAATTTATGAACAAAAACACTCTTTTGGGGGCACTGCCTTGTAGATGGTTTCTATAGGATTAGTGTCTG